TGGCAGTTAGATGCCTTAGACTCTAGGGTTGCTATTAGTCAGAATTGACTTGATGGCAGTGGGTTTGGGTTTTTTTTTTTTTTTTTAAGAGGGGGTAAGTAAGCTGAAAAAGCTATAGCCATATACTAGGTTTTCTATCAGAACATTTACTTCAGTCTCTCAGTTTGTCTTAGGTTATAAGTGATATTAACGGAGAATAAAGATCTCATCAGCTGAAAATTTCTTTAAATTGATTGTTTTTCAGGCATCCATCTTTTCAAAGTGGTCATTTTTATATTTCATCCATGTTAAACAACCCGATAAAATAGCTCTCTTATTCTCAGGCACTAAACTGATCTATCAACTTTATGCTCAAAAATACTCTACTGCAAATTATGAAGGGATTCAAAATGTAATTCAGTGTTTTGGGCACTCATTACATGCTGGTTTGTCAGGAAATTCAGAATGTTAAAACATATTGCTGCCCTTGGAAACTTTACTGCTTCCTAAGGTGGTGGTGTACAGCCCATATGCATTAAAATTACTGGTGATTTAGCATAAATCTTCCACCAGAAAACCAAAACCAAACCAAACTCAACTGCAGTTGAGTTGGATCCAACTCATAGCAACCCCTCCTTGGGTTTCCAAGGCAATATTACTACGGAAGTAGATTGCCCAATCTTCCTTCTGAGGAGTGGCTGGTGGGTTTGAACTGCCAGCCTTCTGGTTAGTAGTCAGATGCCTTAGGCATTATGCCAGCAAAGCTCACTATGCAAGTGCTAAGTAGCGTGAACTTCAGAAATGCTTTGAGAAGGAAAGGTTGCAGATTGTGATTATCCAGAAGAAACCTTTGAGACTTTCATGGCTCCTGTATTCTGCCTAATCAGCCTCTGGTTTGTAAACAACTATGTGTGTTGTTTATCCCCTCTGTTTTGGGGGAGAGATGACATCTTGGTGTGATTTGGGGGTGGGCTTTTGAGGGTTGAGCATGAACTACAGAAAGTAAAGAAAAAGGAAGATAAAAAGAAGAACTTGCACCCTACAAGTCAAATTTTGCTTTTTTTTTTTTTAGCACAAGTAGCTTCGAGTTTCACCTCTCCTACCTGTATGCTTCTGATTGTGTTTTATTTCCTAATGCTTAATTACTGCACAAGTATATGTGTCAATCTTTAAAAACAGTAGAGTTTTTTGATGAACAGTTGGACTCTCTCTCTTCCCTGCTCCCTTGTGTTTCTAGCATGAAACACCACCATATCATTGCACCACCATTTAATGTGTAGAATTGATTATGAATATGACCAAGGTCAGTGGGTATGATGTCTGTTTATGGATAAAGCTTAAAATTGTTCCCTGGTAACACACTGGAGTTCTGGTGGCATAGTGCCTAAGGTATGTGACTGCTAACCAGAAGGCTGGTGGTTCAAACCCACCAGCCACTCCTTGGAAGGAAGATTGGGCAATCTACTTCATGGAGATTCTGCCTCGGATACCCGAGGGGTCTCTATGAATCAGAATCAACTCGATGGCAGTGAGTTTGGTTTTGAGTTTTTGGTTGGTAACACATTAATCAGGAAGCCAGGTGGTGCTCTGATTAAGTGATAAGCTGCTAACCAAAAGGCTGGTGGTTTTAAACCACCAATGACTCCACACAAGCGAAGACCTGGCGATCTACTTCCATAAAGATTTTAGCATAGGAAAATGGGGCAGTTCTACTATTGTCATATAGGGTCACTATGAGTTGCAATCAACTTGATGGCACAAAACAACAACACATTTATCAACATTCTTGGTAATTTAATAAAGATTCCTTTTAAGTCAGACTAATTGCTGTCAATAGAAATCACAAAAATGTTTTAAGATTCCCATTTCTCTTGAGAACAAGACTGAGAGCTGTCCTTGTCAGCTCTCTGATTCAGCTTTCATGCCAAAGTCCTTGGGAATCTGTTTTGGGAGAGCTGTAAACCATGCATATTCTTGTCTTCCAGGATTTATCTCTGGTCAAAGAGACAGTTCAGTATACAGACAGAGTCCAAGGATGAATGTTCACCGTGCCAGTGATGGTGACAGGTTATTGCGGCAAGAAGCCAGCCGCCTAGTGGATGATACCTCAACTGCAACTCAAGAAAAAGAAGCAAGTAGCCTGACTTTATCTGGTCTTCAAAATCTTACTTATCCCTCAGGTCCCAGGAGTGAAGGTATGGTGATTAGATCTTGACTTAATTTGGGGAGCTTTCTGATGCCTAAGTATCTACACCACACAGAAGGCATGGGTGTTCTTAATCTAAATAAATTATCCAGTTAATTGGCTTAGTTTGTATATTACAATTACATAAAGCTGACCGACCACCATAGAACATCTCTAATTGTTTAATTAGTTTAGCACATTTAACTTCATGATAATGGTATAAGAGAAAGAGCAACAGGTTTGAAGTCAGAAGATAGATTCAAATTGTGGCTCTGCTATTTATTAGCTGTAAACATGGAAGGGATCCTTAATCTTTCTGAGCTCTGCTTTGCTAATCTAGCAGAGATAATACTATTAACATTGTCCCTAATTCACAAGGCTAGTGGATTAATGACTTAATGGATGTGAAAGCTCTTGACAAATGGCTAGATCCTTTTTGACTTTTAATAAAAACAATGGGAACAATAATAGCAACTACTTGTTGAGCACTCATTGTGCTAGGAACTTTATATACATTTTATAAATCAAGATGGCAAACTATGGCCCATAGGTCAAATCTGGCCCACTTCCTACTTTTGTAAATAAAATTTCATTGGTACACAGGCCATGACCATTTGTTTACATATTGTCTGTTGGCTGCTATAGTGGCAGAGTTGAACCATAAAGGCTAAAATATTTACTTTCTGGCCATTTATTGACAGTTGGCCAGTCTATAATCCTCACAACTTTTATTATCCTTGTACAGATAAGAAAGCAGTAGCTTAGAAAGCTTGGGTAACTTGCTCTAGTTCACATTGTTGGGATGCATGGGACTGGGATTTGAATCTGTGTTTTTCTGACCAGGCTGTGCTGTTACTGTTTTAACTGTATAAACTGACAGAAAACCAGTATGACCGCCAATCTGTAGTACACCTTTAGGGTGAACTTGTGCAATGAGTCTTTTCTAGCTTACCCATTTAAGCTGGGTAGAACCTAAGGTATCCTTCACGCATCAAACCAACTTAATTGCTTTATTGTTGGGAAATCTAACATTCTAGAGAACTGAATCAGTAATAAAGGCATGTGAAGTATAAAAGCTATCTGGGTGATCAGAAGTATTTTTATGTGGAAAATTAGCTCTTGGTGTGCAGACACAAGGCCACATTGGAAGGTTTTGGATTCCTGATACCTACATATGAGTGGGGGGAAATTGAATACACTTTAGCTAGTAATATGTTTGGTTACCTGAGTATAAGAAATCAAATTTTCCAGAGGTCTTGGGCAGTAATCATGTTCCTAAACAATTGTATATAATTTTAAAATACATGAGGAGTGAGAATGAGATATTTACTTGTATCTGTAACATTCCAAAAAGAACAGTTTGAAGAAAACAGAAATGTGAACTAAGCTTACCAAATCTAGGTCATGGGACATGGATAAATACACTGTTGTTGTTGTTATGTGCCGTCGAGTCGGCCCCGACTCATAGCGACCCCTCCTTGGGTTTCCAAGGCAGTATCACTACGGAAGTAGGATTACCCAACCTTCCTTCCGAGGAGTGGCTGGTGGGTTTGAACCGCCAGCCTTCTGGTTAGCAGTCAAGTGCTTTAGCCACTATGCTACCAGAGCTCCTT